TCCTCCGGTCGGAGATTAAGTTTGTATTTCACTACTTAGACAACTCTTGCGTAACTGTCTTTTTCTCGCAAACGGACGGCTAGACAGAAACCTTCTATCTCGGATACATGTTCGTAGCACCCGGTTTCGTCCTTTTTCCACTCTCCTCGCACAAGCCGGACGACCAGCGACATCTTTCTCCTGTATAAACAGCATGGTAAAAGTTTTGTTAACGACTGCCCTTTTTTCAAAAATAACAAGTAGCTATATATATAGGTAGAAAACCAAAGAGAAATCTCCATAACTACACACCTGAGACTTAAATGGTCTGTCTTTCTTTCTCTTTTAGTTTTTAGCGGTTGCAGTGTTTAATATGTTAGTTGTTTGAGTTCTTCTTGTTGCAGCAATGTCGATATGGAGATAATAAATAGCCAAACATGTAGCTTCCATATCTGCGAAATCGATTACGTATCACATCTAATCATTACTTCTTAACTTCTTTTTTAGTTTCCCAGTGGGCGGCGCAATATCATGGTAGATTTTCCTAGCATTTAATGCTCGTTATCTCGCGGCAGTAGGCTATCGATTCTGTGGGCTTCTAGGGGTAATTTCGTCATATTTAATTTGCAAGAAAATGTCCACCTAAATAACGAAATGAAATGTACAGATCCTTAATTATTTGCCACTGCAGGTATAGATATTTCATTAACCCTTTTACTAACACTTTAAACCTCCAAACTAGCTTTTCTGTTTGCATCGCCATAAAAATTGATGGAACAATTAATTTATGTTTGTTAATATAAATTTATTTAATTTAATTTAAATTTTAATTAATGTTATTAATTCATCATCTTCGACTACTCACCGTCTGACCATAAAATTTTCAGGTTTTTATTCAGTTCATTCTATGTGTTTACCATGTTTTTTCTCTTGTATCTCAGATTCTATGTTATTTGGTTTATATTCTTCTATTTTACACTTCTCTTGTGCTTTAGCCTCTAGTTTTAGAGGTTTATAAGAAAATGTCATGGTCGGACGGTGAGTAAACGAAGAAGATAATTTTTTTAAAAGATTTTTATTAATTGTAATAAATAATAAAATTAATTTAAATTAAAATGAAATTAAATATATTTATATTTAACAAACAGAAATTGATTGTTCCGTCATTTTTCTGGCGGCGCAAACAAAAAAAAGCTAGCTTGGAGGTTTAAAGTGTTAGTAAAAATATATTGTGGTTTATAGTGTTAGTGAAATTCTTTCGAGGTTTAAAGTGTTACCCACTCATGAGGGTTAAAAATGTGATTCTCCCGTTAAATAACTGTAAAAATCTGACCAAATAATAATAATAACTCTACAAAAGAAAACATCTTATAGATTCAAAATAAAACTGAAAACAAAATAAGTAAAATATATTACTTACTTTGATTCCTTCCCACAACTTCTCAAGGTTGCTATTGCTATTTGCTCATGTCTAATTCCGCGAGGAACTTCAGGTTGAAATTGGAAGGCAAACGTGTCGCAGGAAAATAATTCCAATCTAGTATTCGAAGTTTCGGAGAGAGATAGCTTAGAGCATCTCCAATGGTGTAAAAATGGAGCTTTCTTCATAGTTTCTCTCATTAAAAATTGAAAAAAATAAATCATAATGATTTATTTTTGAGAGAGCTGTCTCTCTTGAGAGAAATTTTGCAAGACAAGAGAGACGATGACGTGTCACGTTTTTATTGGTCGGTTCTTTTGACAAAATAGAAGAAAAAAAAAACGCGTAAAAAAAAAAACACTTTGCCCACGATAGCCGATGGAGAGTTCGCGTACTCGGACCCAACTGAATCGTTAACTGCGATTCCGGTGATTATGTCTGGTAACCTTCATCAACGTGTCTTCGTGTTCGACGGAGTCTGTCATCTTTGCCATGGAGGTACAATACTTTTCTGTTTCTCTATTTAGTCGTAGAAGAACAAATCCGCTTTCTCAAGGATCATTTAGTGGTTTATTGATTGATTTCGCCTATTGATCTGCTCTACGTTTGATGAGATTGATTCGGTTGTAGTTGATTTTTAGTCTTGTTCTGCGAAATTGGGGAAAAAACGAGATCAAATTTCACGGGATGGGGTAAAATTACGTGTGTAATCGTGGTATCTGAGAGTTCGTGACGCTGGAGTCATCATCTTTCCAATCAATTTCATCTCGAACAGAATCAATTGGTTGATTCAGAGATCCATTAGAATCCATAGAGATAAAAGAGTGATTTCTTTTTCATGTTTCTTTAGGATGACTTCGCTGAGGTTACATAGTATGAGAAGAAGAAGCCTAAGTCACAGAAGCAAACTATTGCTAAGAAAGGTGGGTGTTTTCTTCAAATATTGTTTGAGATTGATTTGAATCTGCATCTGCAATGAAAAGACTTGAGTTTTCATATTGATTTAGATTTGCTAAGATTATAGTGGCTTAAGTTGCTAAATCAATTGATTGATGATAGTTATACGTTTGTCATACTACAGTTTCTTTTTTCAATGTATGCATATAATTTACTCAACCATCTAGCTCAATAATTTATTCAGAGGACTTATGTAGTAATGTGTACATCTAGCTTAGTTAGGCTTCTTCTTATCCCTTTGCTTCTTCATCGTTGACTCATCTTCTTCCTCTGAGACATGGCCTATCTATTCTTTTCATCTTTCTCTTCTTCTTGTCGCTGACTCCATCTTCCTCTTTGTAGGTTATCACTGTTAGAGTTGAATCCTTTGATCATTGGCTGCTGCTAAAGCTTGAGATTAATGTGTGTGGAGGACTTGTGATACATGCCGCCATTTGATGCATCCATGGAAAAGAAGTCATCATTGGTGAAAATAGAGAAGGATGGTTTGTTTTTTGAGAAGTCATCATTGGCAACATATTGGTTTTGCTGGTTCTCATTAGCGTTACTCATGTTGCATCTAAGCTTAACACACATCAACCATCATTATTCACAAATGATATAATAACTATGTTGACTGAATAATAAACAAGTAAACAATAAATAATAAACATGTACCACAAATAATTTATGAAAATTGTGTACCACGAATAAGTTAGAATGAATGTGTACCACAAAAATATGTTCGTCGAATTGTCTAATGGCGAAGAGGTGGCAAAAAAAAATAGGAAACGAACTTATTTTGACAGAAAACGCGAAGAAGGAGAAAATTTCGCAACAATCAACAGAATAACTAATCGTTTTTTTTTTTTGCAAATTTATTTTCAAATGTATGAAATTATTGTATGTTTAATATGTTATGAATTGTAATATTTTTTCAGTTTTATGAAATAAAATAATTAAAATAATAATTTAATTTTTTCCTGAGAACCCCACAAAGAGAGCCTACCATTGGACTTTGCAAAATTAAAAAAATTTAACAAAAACTCTCATCTCATAAATTTGAAAATTTTATTCTTAAAAAAATGGTGAGAGCCAATGGAGGGCTCTCACCATTGGAGATGCTCTTAGACCATGTGATATATACCATGCATCGTAATAGAATCCTTTTAATCTTAAGAATTGGAGATTAGACATTCTTTCAAAAGCTCTCCCGCTTATATTTAATTTTCTTCCATTAAATCTACAATCTATACCAATAACACCTCTACTACCCTGGAAAATAAAAGGCCAAGAAGAATAAATTAGATGGTTAGTTAACAAACAAACTCAATTTGTAATGAGCAATGCAATGAAATACTAACGGCAAAACTTACTGTTGCCTCATCAGCCAGTAATACTTCACAATTCTCTCCACTATCGACAAAAAATTGGCGTTGTCCAGGCTCATCAAACTGTTTACGAACAATATCTTTACCGAGTTTTACTAGCAGACTATGCATTCCTATTTTCGAATTCTCCATAGATAAAAGAGATTTCTCAGCTAAGACATCAAGTCTGTGCCTCACATTCTCGAAACAGTTCGCAAGATACGCTACAACTTTCTCAAGTTCTTCGTATTAACTCCGGTGAATCGGAGAAGATGAACACGAGCAAAGAAGAATCGGAGTCAAAGAGAATCTTTATTCAACAGTCAAAAACAGAGTTTGTTACAAAAACTTGTTGAAAATAAAACTGTAATCTTAAGCTTATATATACAACTTAATAATCGACATTAAACCAATACCAAGTTAACCAGAGTTAACCGGATCAAACCATCTCCAATACACCCCCCTCAAGTCTTTATCTTCTAAGTGTCTGGTTTGGAAGATATAGACTTGACAGAGACATTTTCTTGATCAAACCATGGAATGGTCCTGGATGAAGAGGCTTGGTTAGAATATCTGCAAGTTGATTGCCAGTAGGAACATGTAATGTCTTCAGTTTTCCAGCTTTAATTTGATCCCTCACTGTATGACAATCGATCTCTATATGTTTGGTACGCTCATGGAACACTGGATTCATTGCCAAATGAAGAGCCGATTTGTAGTCGCAGAACAACTTTGCAGGACAAGTAACCGAGATATGTAAGTCCTTCAATAATTGCTGCAACCAAATAAGCTCACAAGTAGCCTGTGCAAGACTCTTGTACTCTGCTTCAGTACTGCTTCTACTGACCACATTCTGTTTCTTTGATTTCCAAGAAATCAGTGAATTACCAAGATAAACACAGAATCCTGTCACAGATCTTCTACTATCTTTGCACGTTCCCTAGTCAGCATCAGCAAAACCATTCAAACACAATTCATTATCTGCAGGATACATCAATCCTTGACCAGGATTAGCCTTTATGTATCGTAACACTTTATATGCAGCTTGAAGATGAATATCCGTTGGTGCTGAAAGAAACTGACTCAGAGAGTTCACTGCATATGTAATATCTGGTCTGGTGATGCATAAGTACAGAAGACGTCCAATAACACCTCTGTATATAGTAGGATTTGGTAACAAAGTACCCATCTCTTTAGTTAGATGCAGAGTTGGATCCATTGGTACTGAACTTGGTTTACAATCAAGTAATCCTGCATCCTCCAAGAGATTCTGAGCATACTTTCTTTGACACAGTGAGATTCCTTCAGAAGACCTAGCTATTTCCAATCCTAAAAAGAATCTAGCAGGTCCTAAATCTTTAATTTTGAACTCTGATCTCAAAAGCTCTTTTAACTGTTCAACAGCCTTGTCATTGTTACTGGCAATCATTAAGTCATCAACATAGACTAGCACAGCAACAAAACTATCTGAAGTCATTCTCACAAACATAGTATTATCCGCAGGTGATTGTACATAGTTTGCTCCCAACAGAACTGAAGAAAACCTCTTATACCATTGTCTAGATGCTTGTTTAAGGCCATAAAGAGATTTCAAAAGACGACATACCGGTTGAGAAGGCAAAACAGTATCTGTTGGAGGTGTGTATCCTTGAGGCAAGCGCATATAAATTTCCTCATCAAGTTCACCATGCAAGAATGCATTAGATACATCCATCTGTGTCAAACTCCACCCTTTTGCAGCTGCAAGTCCAAGTAATAACTTCACACTAGCAAGCTTTGCAACAGGTGAGAAAGTATCCATATAGTCAATACCTTCTTGTTGAGTAAAACCCTGAGCAACTAACCTTGCTTTATACCTTTCCACACTTCCATCTGGGTTATATTTTATTGTGAATACCCATTTACAACCCACAACATTCTTACCCTCAGGTAAAGATTCCACAACCCAAGTCTTATTAAGTTCAAGAGCCTGAAGCTCCTCATTTGCTGCTTTAGTCCATTTTTCTGATTTCATAGCTTGTGCAAAGGTCTTAGGCTCAGTCTCTAGATTATAAGCACATATGTATGAATTGAAAAGAGGAGTAAGCTTATCATATGAAATAGTAGTGGTAATAGGATGTGGAGTGGTTCTTTTAAGTGGTATGGAAGAAGAAGAAGTAGATAGGATAGGATTATTTTGTGTAGTGGTATTTAATGTGGAAGAAGTATCAGGTGGTAAAAAAGAGATAGAAGGAACAAGGGAACAATGATACTCAGATAAGTATACGGGAGCTTTAGTAACCCGTTTAGGCCTAGCAATAGGTACAGAAGAGATATCCGTATCTGGTGTAGCTGCATTTTGTTCATTATTATCAGTACTAGGTGCTATATGTGCAGATGATGCAGATGATGATGATGTATCTTCTGGTAATGCAGCATCTAATGGAAATGTTTCAACAAAATGCAATGGAGCAGGCATAGGCAAAATGCTATTAGGAAACATATCTACTGATTTTGAAAGTAACTCACTGGTTTTGAAAGGAAACTGAGTTTCATGAAAAATCACATTTCTAGAAATCAAAACAGCATGAGATTCTAAATCCAAGACTTTATATCCTTTAAAACCAGAAGGATATCCAAGAAAAACACATGGTTTGGCTCTTGGAGAAAACTTGTTTCTTTCATGATTATTAGTAGAAGTATAACAAAGACAACCAAATGTTTTAAGCAAAGTATAATCAGGTTGTTTTTCTAAAAGTAACTCATAAGGAGATTTATCTTTCAACAATGGGGAAGGTAATCTATTTATCAAATGAGCAGCTGTAAGAACACAATCACTCCAGTAAGGTAAGGGTACATTTGACTGAAATAACAATGATCTAGCAACATTTAATAGATGTTGATGCTTGCGCTCAACAACAGAATTCTGTTGAGGAGTATAAGAACAAGAAAATTGATGAATCATGCCATGTTCTTTAATAATATTTGTAAAAGCTAATTCAGGAGCATTATCAGAACGAATGGCTTTAATTTTTGCATTATATTGTGTAGAAATGAGTTTCATGAACACTGGAAAAACAGTAACAACTTCACTTTTATTTCTCAGCATATAAACCCATGTAATCCGAGTACAATCATCAACAAGAGTTAAGAAATAACGAAAACCTTCTACAGACTCAACACTAAAAGGACCCCATATGTCTAAATGAACAAGATCAAAAGGATTCTTTGCTAGATTATTATTTGAAACAAATGCTAATCTTTTCTGTTTTGCTAATGGACACACTGAACAATGTAAAACATCAGGAGACACTGTTTTTAAAGAAGGAATGATACTGACAAGTTTCTTTAATGCAGGAGAAGACGGATGACCAAGTCTTTGATGCCAAATGAGACTATCAGCTACAACAGATCCAGAGAAAGAACTAGCTTTAGGTAATGATGGTGAGAGGGATATATTCTGTGTTTCAAGAATATATAAGTTGTTGTAGAGTTTACCCCTCCCAATCATCAAGCCCTGAGAAAGTTCCTGGATATAACAACAATTAGGAAAGAAATGAGCAGAACAAAGCAAAGTTTTAGCAAGACAACTAACACTAATCAAATTGAATTTAAAATCAGGTACATGCAAGACATTATATAAAATGAGTGTTGTAGTGATGCATATGGTTCCTGTGTGTGTGATAGCAACCCTAGTACCATTTGGTAAAGTTACAGTTACACCAGTCACAGGTATCAATTCTCTAAACATTGCTAAATCTGAACAGACATGACTAGAAGCACCACTATCTATTATCCAAGCATCACTTGGCAAAAAATTTTGTATAGATGAAAGAGTAAGATTTTGAAAAGTGAGATTATTATTCTCATACCTAAGACTTGTGGAAGGAAAAGGAATAGTACCAGAAGTAGAAGCCTGAGCCATAAGACCATGCTCTGTGATAGTCGCAGTAGAACTAGAAGCACCAGCAGAAGTAGCTGCAGGCTCTGGAATCCTAACTTGAGTATTGAATTGTGAAATAAGATTTTGTATCTGATCTTGTGTAAGATCCTGCAAATTGAGATTATTTCCCCCACTAGTAACATGTGGCAACATAGGAATATAAGATCCAGCTTCAGAGTAAGCTGCATTTGCAGACTGCATTGCATTAGAATAAGGCACCATCTGTAACTGAGACTGAGGCATGAACATCTGAGGTTGTGTCATTTGCATTTGAGCTACAAGTGGTTGTTGCATCCGGGGTTGATAAGGTGACATTTGCATCCTTGGTTGAAACTGTTGAGGAGCATTCCTATAAGTAGTAGGAATCTTATAACCCGGAGGATAACCATGTATCTTGAAGCACTTTTGAACTGTATGCCCTGTCTTTCCACAATTAGTACAGATTGGTTTCTGAGCTGGTCTTGCAGTGTTATATGCTGCAATATATCCCATATCTCCATTCTCCATCACAGGAGCTTCAGTACCATAAGCAATTGTCTGAAAAGCCACATTGTCAACTTTAGAAGAAGGACGGATTGACTTTTGTCTTTCATCTTGTGTCACAATATTGAAAGCCTCCTCTAATGTAGGAATTGGCTTTAACATCAAAATATGACGACGAGTCTGCTCATAACTCTCATTCAAACCCATTAGAAACTTAGTAACATGACTGCGCTGCTGTAGTTTCTCCCACTTCACTGCAGCATCACATTCACATTTACCACATGTGCAAACCGGAAGATCAACATAGTTCTTATGCTCTTCCCATAAGGTTTGCAATTCTGTATAATAAGCACAAATGTCCATAGAACCTTGCTCAATCTTACTGAGTCTTTGTTCTATATCATACACCCTAGGCGCATCATCTTGCTTAAACCTAGCCAACAAATTCTTCCAAATTCCTTCAGCAGTAGGGATAAAGAGTAAACTCTGTCCAATCTTCTTGGAAACTGAGTTCATTAACCAAGTAGCCATTGTATCATTACAACGTGACCAAGCACCAAAATCCCTATGATCACTCGCTGGTTTCACAATCGTTCCATCTATAAATCCCAACTTATTTCTAACATTCAAAGCCATCCAAACAGATCTACGCCATGAATGAAACTCTGAAGCAGTATTAAGTCTATCAGAGACTAAAACCAAACCTGCGTGGTCATTCCTGTGTAGATGATATGGATTTTCGTATTGATCTGTTGGATAACACATCGAATCAGTCGGAATACTTGATGATGGACGGAAAGTCATCGGAATCGCAGTATTACCACAAGAACTCATAATTTGCATAAGAGTCAAGAAATGTGAGACGAAATCAGTGAAAGAAAATCAAAATTCGTCAACACAGGAGGTCAAAGAAAGAAAGAAAAGAAGAAATCAGATTCAAAATGAAGATCCGATGAACAATTTGCAAAACGCAAGAATCAGAAAGAAAACAAACAAGGACTGGAAGATTCAGCTCCGACGAAGATTGCGGAAGCTTCGTTGATAAGCTCTGATACCATATTAACTCCGGTGAATCGGAGAAGATGAACACGAGCAAAGAAGAATCGGAGTCAAAGAGAATCTTTATTCAACAGTCAAAAACAGAGTTTGTTACAAAAACTTGTTGAAAATAAAACTGTAATCTTAAGCTTATATATACAACTTAATAATCGACATTAAACCAATACCAAGTTAACCAGAGTTAACCGGATCAAACCATCTCCAATACTTCGTGATTGAAATAGCAAGCTATATGAATGAATAAATTTTTATTATCATCGCATAAGGCATCATAACTGACCTTTAAAACACTCACAATATCCGCGTGAAGGCGATTCTTCAAACTTGGTAGAGCATTTTTCCACTCTTGCTTGGATTTTCTCTTGAAGTGGGAGCCCATAACCTTTAGTCCTAGAGGAAGTTGACTAGCAAGATTTGCAACTTCCCAAACAAGTTCTGTGAAATCATATTCAGGGTTCTTCTGACCAAAAGCATATATACAGACCAT